TTGGACAAAAGTTTCACACTAGTGCAGTAAGGATGCTAATCAAGGGAAAACAAAAATGATCAGTTAAGGCTTCTTTTAGATGAAAAATAATAAGTGAGACCACCATAAATTTTTTCATTTCAAAGCTATGTGCCATGACAATGTCCTAAAATGGAGAAAGGGGTAAGAATTTATTTACGGCAGGCAAAAGCATGAAATAAATAGTCCAAAATAATATCATGAAAACAAATTAGGACAGTGATCGTTACAAAGGGGAAAAAATTATTGGATACTATAATTAGAAACTAACTTATTTGAGGTTGCCACTTTTGGTTTGTTAGTTTGCTCTTATTTTGAAGAGCCTCCAAAGAAATACTACAGAGAAACTAACTTATTTTAAGCTGCCATTAACAAAAAAAATTCAATGAAACTACGAGGTAACCTCATCATAACTATTAAACTTTGGTTCATGTAATCCCATATCTGTTTGAATATTTTTATCAAAAGTCAGTCATTTGCCACCTCAGGGCCAAATCATTCATGTTCCTCTTCTCCTTGCTGTAGACACCCCATTTTGTTCGATCTTAAGACTCAAGATATCATCGATTGACCGCTCGATGATTGTGCATATTTGTGCTCGTTTCGAGTTTTCAGAGTTTTCGGCTGAGTTGCCTTGCCTCCGGGCCTTCTGAACTCTTTGTGTTTTGGCTCGGTTTATGAACAAGCCTTGTTTTCCTTGCCTGGAGGGAGGGAGAGGTCTTGTAGACCACTTTTCCTTGTCTCGGGACTGCTTAACGTTCTCCTCTTGGCTTGGTTTTTGAACCATGCCTTGTTGCCTTGGTCTAGAGGACATTGAGGTCTGGGAGACCACTTTTCCCTCATAGACCATTTCTGCGACTCGTAGACTAGTTTCGAGGCCTCCGGCTGCACGCCTTGTCCCTCGAACTTTCGTCTTTCACTTTTTTGGTTTGTTTTTAGCACAAACCATTCCTTGCTTGGAGGGTGGAATAAGGGTGGGAGACCAGTTTCTTCCCCGTAAACTACTTTTCTTCCCCGCCAGCCAGATTTTTTGGTCGGTCACTGGTCTTGTGGCTTTGGACCACAAAGTGGTAGGCCACCATGCCACCACCTTGCTCTTTTGTTGCAAACCCCTCCTCACCCTGGCCGACACTTTTATTTCTGGGAGACCACTTTTCACTGGTCGGCCTGACTAGTGTAAGTAGCTAGCCGCCACTGGCAGCTTTCCTGTACCTTTTTTGAAGATATTTTCTTGCCAGCTATGCAGCTGGTGAGCACAGAACCATCCTCCATACACGTGTATGGAGGGATGGCTTGGAGCTTCTTAGCTTCCTCAACAAGCTTGTTGCTTGTTTTTCTTATTAAGGCAGACCCTTTCTCCCTTCTCCAGGGTTCAGAAAAAGTTGCTTGAGCATATACATATACCATCTATCTCTTATATTGCGCTTGCTCTTCATATTTGTGGCTTGAAAGTGTCATTTCTTTCACACTTTTACACACAAACACATAGTGAAACACCATACTTGGAGCTGAGGCACTTTGAGTTGGTTTTGGTGTTTTTGAACTGGTTTTGATTCCAAAAAGCTGCTGGAGTTGTTGTTCTAAAAGTGTTCTATAGGGGTGAGCTCTCTAACCTCTTAAACCCTTGTTCTTGTATTTAAGCTTTTGGCCCTATTTTCATGTTGTTTTAGGCCTAACTTTCTACTGCAAAAGTTCTGATTTTTAGTGCTTAACATTGTTTGTTTAAGGCTTCTTTGGTGTTGGGGGTGATCTATTCCCTTGCATGTCTTGTTGGCTTTGTTTTACCACCATCACTTTAAGCCCTTGAGATCACTTTCTCTTGGCCTTTTAACCACTAAAATCTAGTGGATTTTCAGTGGTTAAAACTTGCGTTTTGAGTCTTAAATAGGAGAGGGCCCTCTCCTTGTATCTTTGGTTGCTTGCTTTGTTGGCCTCATGTTGGAGCATATTTGTTAAGCTTGTGTTGGCTTATTCTAACTTGTTTTGGGGGTTATTTTGACATGGCATACCACTGTTTTGGCTTGGTTTGGTCCATCCCTTGCATGCTTCGTACACTTGTAATGTAATTCTTACAAACTAGCCTTGTATGCCTCATGTCTTAGCATGTCTTGCTAGCCCATTTTGGCCATATCTTAGCATGTTTTTAGTGTTGTTTTAACATGCCTTAGATATGTTTTGGGTTGGTTTGATAGCCCCACGCATGCTTCTTGCACTCGTAATGCAATTCACAAACTAGCCTAACATGTATTCATGCTTTTGACCATCATTCTAGCATGCTTTTGGCTCAACTTCAAAGAAGATTTTGTTCATGCTTTAGCATGCTCTAGCTATATTTTAAGTGTCTTTGGGTCATGCATGTATTGCTTTTGGTATAAACCCATGGTTCAATCTAGTCTACTAGCTTTGTGTATTGAGTCCACTAGCATGCATTGCTTGGGCTATTTACATGATTTGGCACCATTTATAGATGAATTTCAGTGCATGTTTTCATGGTTCATGCACTCACATTTGTCACTCTTTCCATGCATTGGAGGGTTTATGCATTGGAGGTTTATGCTTTAAGCCTTAAACATGAGCCATTGTGTATGTCATCATGCCTAAGCTTGCGAGCTATCATTCAGTGTTGTATTTGGGGTTATTTTTCCAGATATAACTCTGTATTTTTGTTGGCGAAGCCATCTCATGCTTGGTCTCTGGTAGGTGTAGTGTAATCTCCCTTTTGGCCTTGCATACATCATGCCTTATGCCCTTCATAGCTAGCTTGCTTTAGCTTTGATCCATGCATGTTTAGTATCATTTTAGCATGCTTTAGGATCGTTTTGGGATTACTTCCATATGGTTCTTATATTGCACAACTATAGTGCAATTAGCTTTGCAGCTTTGGTAGTTTTGAGTACCATAGCATGCTTCATTTGGCATGTACATGATTTGGCATCATTTATTCATGTTATTTTAGAGCATATAGCATTGCCATGCTCCCATTTCTTTACCCTTGAGTGTTCCTATAGGGTCATGCCATTGTTGCCTGTGTTGTGCCTTAGCTTGTATGCATGCATGCCTAGACCTTTGAGCTCCCCCTTAGCATGTTTTGGTCTTTGTTTTGACCTAATTGAGCTTTGCTTGTGGCTGTTCATCCCTTTGTGCCATGCATTGACCTCTTGCGTAGTCCCATTCACTAGCTTTCATGATTAAGGACTCTTGCATGCCACACTTGTGTTGTTTGGGTGATTTGGCATCATTTCACATGATATTTCAGAGCTTGTAGTGTTGTCACACTTCCATATTTGTCACTCCTTGAGCACCTTTGAGAGTTGTGCTCTTATGCTTATTGGTGAGCCAATGCATGTGCATGCATCATCTTGCCTTTCATACCATCCTTTAATAGGATTTTAGCCC